CATTTATTCACCTCTTACCTATGCATTTCCAAACAAATAATCAAAATGTGTACTATTCTTGTACCATAAAGTTAGTGTTTTAGACATCTATGTAGTACTAGATTGAATTCCCCAATCCGATCATTCTTTTTGCATTATGACAACAAAATGAGTCATTAATATTTTATCGATATTGATCATTTATCGTTTGTTATATTATAGAGGGGCTTTAGGTGTGATTCACCTGAAATTCTCGATTTGGTCATAAGACCCAAGGAAGGAATTATGAACAATGTTGTAGGGACCTAATTTGAGAGCATAATTTAGGGAACTAATTCGTTGCAATCATTGAATTACTTGAGTTATAATATTGAGCAAGGTCCATTTCCAATCCAAGAATTGTAATAAATTATTATGTCCCTATATTAGGTGCCTAAATTAAGTACATATAGACCAGAATTAAAGATCCAAAGTCAGAAAGAAGTAGACCCTAGGGGTTGAGTTGAGTACTTAATTGCTAGGGACATGTATAGAAAAGCAGTCGAGAGGTTGGAGGGCTCACATCCAGATTCAGATTCTCCATTGAGTGTTAATTCCTACAGATCTCAAGTAGTGATTAATTAGAAGCCTTCGGAAGTCTCTCACGTTGAGTGGTTTAACTATATTGAATTGATTTGGATGTATTAGAGACATTAAGAAGACTATGGCTAAAGAAGGAAAATCAGTGTATATTTTTGGATGTCTGTCTTGGTTACCATATACAAAAGAGAAGTAGTCTGACTGACTGTGACTGACAACTTTTTATATAGATATATAGGTACCCAAACTAAAATGAACTTTTCATCAAGTGCAGTCCTATAGGTTATTGTGTGACTATGATCTACCTATTTTATCGACTGAAACTCACTGCATAGCGTTAGGCAATAACTGGTAAGATATTGAAGTTGTTGGTTACCAGGCAATTGCTGCAGCTGCAAGCATGGAGTGGAGACCATATATATCGGAGGTTGATCAGGCTTATGTGCTAGCTATGGAATGAAACTGGACAATTTGCTGCATCACTTCACTTGCCTAGGGAACTTTACACAATGGGATTCCAATCGAGTGGAGTAACCATTTTATGGTCTTAGGTGAGTTATGCTTCTGGGTGGGTGGGGAATTTCTTTTGATATCGACCAGCTCATGCTGCTTTAGCCAATCCCTTTTTTTTTTTTTCTATTTTCTTTTTTTCGTCTAATTTATTGTTAGGGACCTCTGATTCTCTGTTTTCTTTCTTTCACCAATAATTCGACACGTAGTCGAACTTCTTGTAAAGTTGGATAGATTTTTTCAGTGGTGATTTAGTTCTTGTCTTGAACTAGGTCCTGGTTAATTTTCCTCATAATTGATAGACTTCCTTCCTTGGCACTTGGATATTCTCTACAATTAAAAAAAAACCTATGCCATTTTAAAGGAAAAAAGATGCATTCTGATTCTTCTGGTAGTGCCAAAATAGTGACCAAACTGCACTGATGCCTAGATTATTTTATCATTTATGTTCTAAATAAATATTTGGCCATTTCATATTGTTGCTCTAACTAACTTGTGGATTTCTGAGGGTGGAAGTGTTCTTGGCGCTTTCTTTCAGATGCCATCAATCATCTATTTCGAATTGTAAGGCAAGCTTCTATGTTCTTTGAACTTCGATGCCTGTTGTGTGGTATAAAAATAGCAGTCTCAATTTTGAGTATAACTCAAATAATATTGGAAAATTTGATTCAACTTAGTCCAACATGGAGATGGAGTCACTGATCTGCTTCGCCAATTCAATTTCATTTTAATGCATTTATAAATAAATAAATAAATATATATGGTAATGCAAACTTATATATATATATCTATATATATATTCAAGGAAGACACATTCCTAACCAACCAAGTTTGGTCGGATGTTTCATGTTCTCTTGGTAATGCTGAAATGGGTAGCTACTAATATCAGATTCAAGCTTTGATGACAGGTTGTTGATTCAAACTCTTAACTTTTGCTTTGGCGACGGTGGCTCAAAATAAGAGCAAAAGGCAGATGGAAAACACTAACACGGTTTCATATTACAAGCTGTTCTCCTTTGCTGATTCCGTTGACCATGTATTAATGCTTGTTGGCACAATCACCGCTGTAGCAAGTGGACTTTGCATGCCCTTTTCGGCTGTGATATTTGGAGAGTTGGTCGATTCATTCGGCGAGGCCACAGATACCACAAAAGTTAGCCATGCAGTGTCCAAGGTATAATATATTTCCAGCTGCATTAAGATGATCCCTGCTTAACTTTTCAAAACTGATCTTATGCAGATCAATAAAATAATAAAAAAAAATTAATGTTCTAATTGGGACATAAAAACTGCGCAAACTAATTTGGTCTCCGTCTCCCTATGTTAGAGTTGCATCATATTCAGATTCTCTGTCTTGTTTTCAATGTAATCCCAACACTGGTGTTCTTCCATTGATTTATTTTTAAATTTCAGCAATGTGTGGAGTCGTCTTCATCTTGAAATCTGTGAAAAAATGGATCACTAAAACTAATTACAGTATTGGTGCTCCTCGCTAATTCAAAAATTGGCCAACAGGTATCTATCAAGTATGTGTACTTGGCTCTGGGGTATGGTGTCGCTTCATTTTCCCGTAAGTGGATGATGCTCTTTGTATACTACTATAAAGATTAATATTTTTGAATGAGATAGGGTAGGGTAGATGATAGATTGACTTGAGAACCTGAGAAACCCATCTTGCTTCTTGGCAGAGGTGTTTTGCTGGATGGTCACAGGGGAGAGGCAGGCTGCGAGGATTAGAAGGTTATACTTAAAAGCTATACTGAGACAAGATATTGGATTTTTTGATAAGGGCACCAACACGGGAGAAATTATCCAGAGGATGTCAGATGACACTGTTATTATTCAAGATGCCATAGGTGAAAAGGTATTGCTACTAGGACAAAGAAGCCCACAATCATCAGCATGACTTAACTCATATTCAAGCTTAAACTACTGAATACTGATACTTCTACCACTGACCAAACAACAGGTTGGGAAAGCTATACAGCTGGCATCTACATTCTTGGGAGGGTTCATAATAGCTTTTACAAAGGGATGGCAACTCACCCTTGTCATGTTATCTTCAATTCCTCCTCTTGTCATCTCCGCTGCTGCCATGACCATCCTTATGGCCAAGCTAATAGCCCGTGGACAGATCGCTTATTTGCAAGCAGCCACTGTGGTTGAACAGACAATTGGCTCAATCAGAACTGTAGGAGCAACTGCCCAAGAAAAAGTTTTAACTTTTCATTTCTCCTTTCTTTTTTGCGTTTTCCTTCATTTCGTTTTTCAGAATTATGTTCATGACCGTTGACATCCAATTCAGGTTGCATCATTTACAGGGGAGATGGAAGCTATTACTAAATATGACAAGTCCCTCAATATAGCTTACAAATCGGGTGTGAAAGAGGGCTTGGCCGCTGGGTTGGGTTCTGGTGTATTTATGTGTGTTATATTGTGCAGTTATGCTTTGGCTGTATGGTATGGCGCAAGGATGATATTACACAATGACTATACAGGAGGAGAAGTTTTTAATGTAATTGTTGCCGTTTTGACAGGCTCCTTGTGAGTGGCATTCTTTTTCTTTCTTTTATTATTATTAATTTTATGTATCCTCTTCCAACATGGTGAATCATGATGTTCAAAACTCTCAAAACAAAAAAATTGTTTGCATGTATAGCATAAAATGTATATTGGACGTCTTGGAAAAAGTTTGAGACAAATTGCAACAAATTTGGATTTTTTGCAGTTCTTTAGGTCAGGCATCTCCTTGCCTGAGTGCACTTGCTGCTGGAAAAGTTGCTGCATTTAAATTGTTCCAGACAATGAATAGGAAGCCAAAAATAGACCCCCACAACACCATTGGCAAGAAATTGGATGATATTCATGGGGATATCAAACTAAAAGATGTTAGTTTTAGTTATCCAGCAAGACCTGATGAGCAAATATTTAATGGGTTCTCACTCTCAATACCCGGTGGGACAACGGCAGCCTTGGTTGGACATAGTGGAAGCGGGAAATCAACGGTGATCAACCTAATAGAGAGGTTTTATGATCCAGAAGCAGGCGAAATCCTTATCGATGGTATAAATCTTAAAGATTTTCAGCTTAGTTGGATCAGAGGCAAAATTGGTCTTGTTAGCCAGGAACCCATGTTGTTCACTCTTAGCATTAAAGACAATATCGCCTATGGGAAGGATGGTGCAACCATTGAAGAAATAAAAGCAGCATGTGACCTTGCCAATGCCACCAAGTTCATAGATAAACTGCCTCAGGTCTACTATCGTATCTGTACGAAATATTTTTTTGCTTTGTGTTTATAGATGACATTAAAGTTACAACTCTTTCTGAAATCTTGTCTTTATTCTACAATCATATAGTCCATCCCTGCCCCCTGCCCTCCTTTCCCTCCCTCCCTGAACACGAAGTTCATTCTATTAGCCCCATATTAGATTGGTACCAACAAAGATAGAAATAGACTTGATTTATATAGATACCATTTCCCTTCCTCCACTTCAGCCCCCTCTTTTCCTTTTTCTTCTTTTTCTTATTCTGCGCCGTATACATTTTTTCTGATCATGTTAAACATTCTTACCTTTCCAGCTTCTTGTTAATGTGTTTAGGGACTGGACACCATGGTAGGGGAGCATGGGAATCAGCTGTCTGGGGGCCAAAAACAGAGAATTGCTATAGCTAGAGCAATTCTGAAAGACCCCCGAATTCTACTTCTGGATGAAGCAACAAGCGCTCTTGATGCAGAATCTGAGAGGATTGTCCAAGAGGCATTGGACAGGGTTATGATTAACCGAACTACTGTCATTGTAGCACATCGCTTAAGTACAATACAGAATGTTGATGAGATTGCAGTCATTCATTTAGGAAAGATTATTGAAAAAGGTTTTTATTTTCCTTGCAGATACTGCCTTATTTACTTTTGGCCGCAAGTTTGTAGCATGTGTCGTCTCAACTAATAACCGATATTTATACTTGATGGCAGAGTATTCAAAAATAAAGCACTATAAGGAAGTTTCATTTTTCTTCGGATGGACATTGCTAATTTTAATCTATTTCAACTAATCAGGTTCGCACACTGAGCTACTGCAAGATCCTGAAGGAGCATATTCCCAGCTTATAAGGCTGCAAGCACTCAACAAAGAATCAGAACATCATGTTGTAAATGGTGATGACAGATCAGAGATCACTTTGGATTCTCCAAGACATCCAAGTCAGCGAATATCTTTCTTACGATCCATAAGTGGGGGGTCATCTGGAAATGGAAACAGTAGTCGTCACTCATTCTCAGTTTCTATGGGTGTACCAACCTCAGTCAGTTTCATTGAAACATCGCTTGCAGAATCTAAATCTATGGCCTTAGCACCATCAAAAATGGCCCAAGAAGTCCCACTTCGCCGGTTGGCCTACTTGAACAAGCCAGAGATCCCAGTTTTACTGGTTGGTTCTACAGCTGCGGTGGCCAACGGTGTAGTACTACCACTCTTTGGGGTACTTCTTTCCATCATAATCAAGATCTTCTATGAGCCAGCTCATAAGCTTCGAAAGGATTCAGAATTCTGGGCGTCAATGTTTGTAGTTCTTGGTGTGCTATCCTTATTGGCGACCTCATTAAGAACATACTTTTTTTCTGTGGCTGGGTGTAAATTGATAAAAAGGATGCGACTAATGTGTTTTGAGAAATTGGTTCACATGGAGATAAGCTGGTTTGACAAAACAGAGAACTCAATTGGTGCAATCAGTGCACGGCTTTCTACAGATGCAACATCTGTGCGAAGTTTGATTGGGGACACACTCGCGTTGCTCGTTCAGAATACTGCAACTGCTATTGCTGGTTTAATTATCGGCTTCCAAGCAAGTTGGCAATTGGCTCTTATAATTCTTGCTATGCTACCTCTAATAGGAATGAATGGATATTTTCACATGAAGTTTTTAAGTGGGTTCAGTAAGGACGCAAAGGTTAGCTCCAAACCTTTGGTGATGAAAAACGAGAGAGAGAGATACAGAGAGAGATTGCATCAAACAACTAAACATTTTCCAATTCTGAATGACATCACTCAAAACTTAGTAAATACTTTGTCTTTAAAGTATCTGTTCAAGCGCATATAGGATGATTTGTCTTTACTATGAGATCAGTGTTTCTAGTCCCTATTGATCAACTTGGAAATTCTTTTCTTGCTTACAGAAATTGTACGAGGATGCAAGTCAAGTTGCCAGTGATGCAGTAAGGAGTATTAGAACAGTTGCTTCTTTTTGTGCTGAGGAGAAGGTAATGCAACTATACCACAAGAAATCTGAAGGCCCGGTGAGAGCTGGAATAAAACAGGGGTTCATTAGTGGGGCAGCTTTCGGGTTATCAATGCTGTTCCTATTTTTGGTTTATGCTGCCACTTTTTATGCTGGAGCTCAGCTTGTTGACGCTGGCAAGACAACATTTCATGAAGTTTTCCAGGTAAGTTTCTACAACTAGATTTATTCAGAGTAATAATATATTTATTACCTTTTCCATGTCTGGTTGTCTAACTTTCAAATTAGCTATAATATGTGGCTTGGTTTTTGCTTTCCATTTTTAATCTAGTACTTACCTCTATTCTCTTATGGTGTACAGGTTTTCTATGGTCTCACCTTGACTGCAGTTGGAATATCTCAATCAAGCTCTCTTGCTCCCGACTCTAGTAAAGCCAGGAGTGGAGCTGCCTCAGTCTTCTCTCTTCTTGACCAGAAATCAGATATAGACTCTTCCGGAGACTCAGGAGCAACACCAGATAATGTGAAGGGAGATATTGAGTTTCGGCATGTCAGCTTTAAGTATCCTGCAAGACCTGATGTTCAAATATTCAGCGATCTCTTCTTGGCGATACACTCTGGCAAGGTAATTTCTTTAATACAGTTTCCTAGATGCATTCTCTTATCTAATTGATGGCAATTAAGCCTTACAGAGGTCATTTGAAATTAACAGTCAATTTTTAGGTATTTAAAAGTTTTAACAGTGTGAATTTCATGTTTATCAGACTGTTGCTCTAGTTGGAGAAAGTGGGAGTGGGAAATCAACCGTGATTTCTTTGTTGCAAAGATTTTATGATCCTGATTCAGGTCACATCACACTCGATGGACTCGAAATCCAAAAGCTCAATTTGAAATGGTTAAGGCAACAGATGGGCCTGGTGAATCAGGAGCCTGTCTTGTTCAATGACACAATCCGGGCCAACATTGCGTACGGAAAGGAAGGCAATGCAACGGAGGCAGAAATTTTGGCTGCAGCAGAGTTGGCAAATGCTCACAATTTCATCAGTGGTTTACAACAGGTTTAATCACTTAAAATTTCTTATTATGATTGACGACTTCTAAAATTTTTCAACCATTACATCTACTAAAATAGTTTATGAACGCAAGAGATCGATCATTATATCACTCACATAATACGCTTATTTACACCAAATCTAACAGCAAAAGATCTTCTCTGTTATTAATTTTTTTTTTCTGTATCATACGCTGATCTGATTTGTGGTTAAAGCTGAACATGTGCATACGAAAACCAATGCAATCCTCAATTAAAACATATTCTGAAATGCAGGGGTATTATACCACAGTAGGTGAGCGGGGGATCCACTTGTCTGGCGGACAGAAGCAACGTGTTGCCATAGCGCGAGCGATAGTGAAGGCTCCAAAGATATTACTACTAGATGAAGCCACTAGTGCTCTGGATGCTGAATCCGAAAAAGTGGTCCAAGATGCATTGGATGGGGTTATGGTGGACAAAACAACAGTGGTAGTGGCCCATAGGCTATCCACAATTAAGGATGCCGACTTAATAGCAGTGGTTAGAAATGGAGTCATTGCAGAAAAAGGAAATCATGAAACTTTGATCAGTATCAAGGGTGGTATTTATGCCTCCCTGGTAGGGCTAAACACCAGTGCGGTCTTGTAGAAAGCGTTTGTCGGCGTGCCAGTTCTGCTATTTCTTGTTAATTTTCGTCTTTTTTCCTTGCTTGGAATCCATGCCAGAGTCAATTTGCAAGACAATTCCTCTACATGAAACAATAAGTTCGGAATGCATTGAAAGGAAACAGAGGAAGTTACATATATTGTCTTACTGTTCGAGTTGTAGAGAACACGTGAATATGTACAAATGGAAAAAAGGAAAAAGGGAAAGTCACCGCTATATATATATATATATATATATATATATATATATATATATATATAGTGATAGATCTTACAAACTACAAAGTCTATTGTATGTGTTGATATATAATAACACAGTCGAACAAAATGAGTACGTGGTATATCTCTTGAAAAACCTAAACTAAGTCGAGTAGTCATTTGTTGTTACAAACAAATCCTACGATGTCAAACTCATACTTGTCCAAACTTCATCACATGCTAGAAATTTTTTTTATTACATGCCAGAAGTTTGTACTAGTTTGAAGAAGTGGCTATTGGAGTTTAATTTTTTATTTTTGAATTTTCACGCTTAAGAAATCTAAGGGTTTATAGTTTTTCACTCAAAAAGAGTGCTAAGAGAGATATGAGGAGACAAAGAGATTGTATGCATTTGTATGCTATTCTTTTAAATCACCCATAGTTTCTTACTTGGTTTGTCTCGGCAAATGCTAGGTGCTACTCGGTGCATTTTCACTATCACACATACCCCTCAAGCCACAGTCACTTCTAACAACCATAATCATAACCCTGAGAGCACTTAATGCTTGCACAAATAGGTGGTTGTGGTACAGGTGGGTGCAATGGTGTTGGGTTGTCTGTGCGTGTTTGTTTGTGTGTGTGTGTGTTTGTTTGTGTGTGAGAGAGAGAGAGAGAGAAAGAGAGCATTACAATCATTGTTGGTAGGTTGAAGACAATGTGAAAAAGGGAAGTTAAATATAAATCTTTTAAGTAGTTATTGTAGTTGCAAATATTGTTTAGTCGGACAAAAACATCTTCATCATTATTAATGATAGGTTCATCACTTCATGCATAGGTAATGAGAACATAATCAATAACTACTTTGCCTCTTTGTTCAAGAAATCTGCTCCGACAGAGAATGTTCCAACAATTCCTATTACTTCAGAATTTAATTCCTTAACAATTGTAGATCCTTTGGGAATGAATAATACCATCTCTATGCCTCTTATTTCTCAAGTGAATCAGACTAAGTCGACTGTTCGTCTGGCCTCTATTCTTCCTGCGACTGTATCGACTGTTACAAATAATCAGAGTTCTTCGTCTGGGTTAGGAAGTCATGTTCCTATTGAATCTGTCATTGATCGAAACACACAGAGAGTGTTTATGAATCCTCAACCTTCTTTAATTCCCCAATCCATTTTGGAAACTCATGAATCCTCGATGGATCGAAACCTGCCTAAATCGCAATTCCCTGCTCCTGAGAAAGATATTCAGATTCCAGTAGTCATTTCAAATTCTCAAAATCCTTCTGGTAGTCAAGTTCCTGCTTCTAATATTGTTTTTGGTTCCTTAAATTCTGTGAATTCTCCTAAAACTGCTAAGAGGGTAGTCTTTAACAAAGGGGAGCCTGGGATGTATTGGTCCCCCAATGAAACCTTGGAACTTTCTAAAGGTTTTTGTCAAACACTTATTGGCAAATGTGCCTATGGTAAACCTTCTCTGGGTGTGGTGAAAGAATTTATCAAGTCTCGGTGGCTTCTGAAAGGAGATTTCTCTGTAGGAGTATTAGATCAGAGGCATGTACTGATAAGATTTTCTCTCTATGAGGACTATGTTAAAGTGTGGCTGAATGATACCACATACATTGAGGGCTACCTCTTCAGGTTTTTTAAGTGGTTCCCAGAGTTTTATTCTGGGATTGAGCCACCTATTGTACCTGTATGGGTGTCCTTACCTGGTCTTCCAATCCATTTATTTAATAGAGAGAGTCTGAGAGATATTTTAAGTCCAATAGGCAGAATTCTGGTGATAGATAATGCTACTCTGAGCCTTTCTAGACCTGGGGTAGCCAAGGCCTGTGTTGAAATGAACCTTCTAATCAACAATCCTAAGAGATTCTGGTTAGATATGGGGGGTGTTAGTGGCAGGTGGCAGAAGATATTGTATGAAAAAGAGTACAGGTACTGTCTTGCTTGTCTTAAGCAGGGGCGTGATGAAGTGCAGTGCAGAAGGAAGAAGAAAGTGGAAGATGATATCTCTGAAAAGAAGCAGGAGGCTGGGAATAATCTTCCTCAGGATGAGGAGTGGAAGAAGAGAAAAGGCAAAGCTATGGCTACAGAAGGACTGAGAGGACAGTCTAGAAAAGAATATAGACATAAATCTAATCCTCAAACTACTGCTGTGGGGAATAGTTTTTCTGTTTTAAATGAGGAGATTGTTGTAGAAGAACAAGATATTGGGAAGGAAATGGCTCTGAAAGGTCAGGAAATAATACCTGACAAGGTCACTAATAATGAAGGATCTCCTTCTATTCAGGAGATGGGTATTGGATCTGTTGAAATACAGGGGGAGGTTGTTAGAAAGGATACTGTAATTCTTGATAACCCTCAGGGAAGCTCTGAATGTGGTACTCAAGGAGTTGGTAATGCTAATAATGCTGATATCAGATTGGAGGGAATACAACAAGAGAACAATCCAAGAGTAACTATTGTTTCTGAATCTAGGAATCAAATTCCCATAAATACATCTACTGTGGGGGCTACTTTGGAGGTAAATTCCTTTTCCTCCCCTACTCCATTATCTCCTGTTAATGAGGAGGTCAATGTTGGAGTTTCTGTGATTGATGGTATTAATAATGACAATATGGTGGTTAATGAAAATATGGAGGTTTTGGGAGAATGTAGGAATTTTTATGCTCCGTCAATGGACTCATCTTTCCTTTTGGAACATGGATTTGTTGTTAGGCAAGGAAGCCAAAATTCTTTAGATGACCAGTCTGGTTTGGTAAGGATGAAAGAACCTCCAGATAAGGGTTATTTTTCAGATCAGGCTAGCTCTAGACCTCAGAGAATTGTAAATGTTGAATCTGATAACTCTGGGAGTTCTTTTGAAGAAGAGGATGAGGGTAATGGACTTAGTTCCAGTAAAGTTCCATCTCCTATGAATTTATGATTAATCTTCTATCATGGAATATGAGAGGGGCAGGTAAGGATGCCAAGAGGAGGAGATTAAAGAAGCTTATTAAATTGCATGATGTTTGTCTTGTTGCAGTTCAAGAACCTAAATTACTGATTTCTAAATTGGTTCCTTTTGCTAGGAGTATTGGTCTAGAGCACTTCTGTTCTAATGCTCTTGCAGAAAGGAAAATTTGGATTTTATGGGATGAGAGAATCAAGTTGAGAATCTTATTTGAGCATGATCAAGTATTGACTGTGGAAATAACTTTTCTGAATTCAATTATTTTTTGGATCTCAATTGTGTATGCTAGTTGTGATCCTTTTACAAGAAGGCTTTTATGTGATCATTTGTTGGGAATTGATGTTCCTTCTGATGTTCCTTGGAAGGTGGTTGGTGATTTCAATTCAATCCTATCTTCTGATGAAAGATTGGGGGGAACCCCTCCTTCTTTGCTGTCTATAGAGGATTTTGGTGACTTTTTAAATCATAGGGGTTTGTTGGATGCTGGTTTTGTGGGAAATAAATTTACCTGGTGTGATAACAGGAATGGGGGTATCAGAATGAAGCAGAGGTTGGACAGAGCTCTGATTAATGCTTGCTGGAATTTGGAATTTGATAGTATGGAAGTGGCTCATTTAGCAAGGGGCTCTTCTGATGAAAATTATGGATGCTCCTGTACAGAAAAAAATTTCTTATTTTAGATTTCAAGACATGTGGTGTGATCATGAGGGATTTCTTGATCTGATTAAAGCAAATTGGGGGGGGGGGGGGATCTATTCAGATAATCCAATGTCAAATTTGTTCATCAAGATGAAATACTTGAAGGCTCATATGAAGATGTGGAATAAAAATGTGTTTGTCAATCTCTTTGACAAATTGAAAAATCTTGAGCAAAAAATAAGTTTGTTGGAACAGGAGTTAGATCAGAGTTTTTCTGATTCAAAAGACATGGAGTTAAAAGCTGCTAAAAATGAGATGGATGATTGGTTAAGAAGAGAAGAAACTTATTGGAAGCAAAAATCAAATATAAAATGGGCTATACAGGGGGAAAGGAATACCAGATTTTTATCATTCTATTGCTAAAAGTAGAATGGTTAGGAATAAAGTCTAAAGAATCAAGAATAAAGAAGGGGTCTGGGTGTATGGGGATAAGCAAGTGGCCGAGGTTGCGGAGGAATTTTATGTTGATCTCTACAAGACTGAAAGGCATATCATCAATGAACAAATTCTTGTTGATGTTATTCCTAAGCTCATCAGTCAAGAGGATAATGAGTGGCTTACAGCTGAAGCCTCATTGGAGGAATTGAAAGATGTGGTCTTCTCAATGGCAGTTGAAAGTGCCCCTGGGCCTGATGGTATGTCTGGTATGTTTTTTCGATTTGGCTGGGATATTGTTAAAATGGATGTGGGCAGAGCTGTTAATTTTTTGCTAGCAGGAGGTTCAATGCCTAAATCTGTGAATTCCACTTTATTAGTATTGATTCCTAAGAAGGAAAATCCATGTTCATTTGCTGATTTTAGACCTATAAGCTTATGTAATTTCTTATATAAGATCTTTACAAAGCTTCTTAATACTAGACTGTCTTCCCTGCTTCCTGCTTTAATTTCTGAAGAACAACATGGCTTTGTCCAAGGGAGAGGCATTGGGGATTGTGTGGCCTTGGGACAGTTGCTTGTTGGAGAATTAGACAGAAAGGTGGAAGGTGGGAACATGGTTATGAAGTTGGATATGATGAAAGCATATGACAGGATGGAATGGGATTTTTTGTTGAGGGTACTGGCTGGCTTTGGTTTTTCTGATTTGTTCAATCAAATTATTTTGAATTGTTTGAGTAGCCAATTCTTTACCATATGTTTAAATGGTCAAAGATATGGTTATTTTGCTAATTCAAGGGGGTTAAGACAGGGAGATCCTCTGTCCCCCTCCTTATTCATCCTGGCTGAGGAAGTGCTAAGTAGAGGGTTGAGAAGAATTTATAACCAGAATTTGGTGAAACATTTCCATATTGGGAGAGGAACAACAATTGTTAGCCACTTGTTATTTGCTGATGATACTCTGATTTTTCTAAGAGGTAATAAATCCTCTGTAGTGAATGTTTTGCAATTTATTGAGTTGTATGAATCATGCTCTGGTCAGAAGGTTAACAAAATGAAAAGTGCTGTCTATTGCTCTAAGCTGATCTCTTTATCCAGAAGAAATAGGCTGGCTTCTGTGATGGGGATTCCTTTTAAGGATTGTCCTTTTACCTATTTGGGCTGTCCTATTATCAGAGGAAGAGTTAAGAAATGCTACTTTGAAGAGGTGGTGAACAGCTTTAGAAGAAGACTTGAGGGTTGGTATGCCAGACTTCTATCTGGAATTGGAAGAGTGGTATTGGTACAGTCAGTACTCAGCTCAATCCCCATTCATATATTGGCTTTCTTGAATATTCCAAAAGGTATTTTAAGTAAGCTGAATTCTCTTATTGCTGATTTTATTTGGTCTAATCAAATTGGTTCCAGGAGGAGACATTGGGTGTCACTTAATGATATTTCTAAGCCCAGAATAGAAGGTGGTTTGGGGATTAGCAGTTTTGATGAAGTCCAAATGGCATTCAGAATCAAACAGGTGTGGGGTATTTTAAAGGGTTCTTCTTTGTGGGCCAAAGTCTTTAAAGAGAAGTTTTTTCAGGGGAAGCATATGCCAAGATGTAGTAGCAGTGGTGCAGGCTTATCCTTTAATGTATTGAGGCCTTGGTTCAATTTCACAGTACTGAATTCCTTCAAAATTGTTAGAAATGGTCATAACACTGTTTTTGGTGTGATTCATGGATGGATACTGGCCCCTTGATTCTTAGAATGGAGAATCTTCCATTGATCTTTCCCAAGATATATGAAGTATGGAATGGTGTAACATGGCAGCTTAATGAGGTTGCTGAATGGCTTAATCCTCAGTTATGTTCTGAAATTGAAAGTGTGGTCTTTGTGAGATCTGAGGAATCTGATAATGTCATTTGGAAGCATACTACTTCAGGTGAATTTACTGTAAAATCTGCTTGGAATCAGATTAGGAAAGTGGGGAACCACAATGCTATTGCTAAAGGCATATGGAAACAGAAAATTTTTCCTAGTGCTCAACTTTGCACTTGGAAAATTTTCAGAAAAGCTTTGACCTCTGATGACAGAATTCAAGATGTGGGAGTGGCAATGGCTAGTAAATGTGTCATGTGTGGTATGGCTGGGGAAAGTGCAGCTCATGTATTTATTGATTGCTCTTTAGCTCAAGCTGTCTGGAGTAAAATTGCTGCAATTATGGAATTTGATGTTTTTTCAGGAGAGGCTCCTTTATGCAGATTCTTGAGATTGTTTAGAAGGTTTAAAGCTGCTTCTCTCAGTCATAATCTAATAAGAGGGGTAGCTATGTTAATTTTTTGGGCTTTGTGGAAGGAGAGATGTAGGAGGAAATATGAGGGAGTATTTTTAAATGCCAATGCTATCTTCCAGCAAATAGTGAGTTCTTTAAGATGGCAGGTTTTTCTTATCAGACCTAGATCAAATGATGATGGTAAGGGTAAGGAGTTGTTGAGAGATTTGAGTATTAAAAGTCCTTTTTCCTTAATCACCAAGGTTAAATGGATTAAATGGGACTTCCTCCTGCAAATGTGCTAAAGCTTAATGTTGATGGTGCTTCTAAGGGTAAGACTGGATTGTCAGGTGGTGGGATGGTATTGAGAGATCATGAAGGCAAAGTAATTGTTGCAGCTTCCTGTTTTTATGGTATTGGTTCCAATATGTTAGCTGAATGTATGGCATTATTTGATGGTTTACTTCTGATTATGCAATATAGTCTGACAACATCTCAGATTATGGTGGAAACTGATTCTTATACTTTATTTCAAATGGTGAGAGGATTAGCTGCTGTTCCATGGAAGATGCAATATCTGTTAGAAAGGATTAAGCTGTTGTTTAATTTTCTGAATTTGCAAATCAAGCACATATATAGGGAAGCTAATGGTCTGGCTGACTTCTTCGCTTCCTTTGCTGTTAAATCAGAACAGTACACTGAATTTTCTGCAACTAATATTCTGCCATCTATTGGGAGGCTTATAATGCAACAAGATTTATATGGATTTCCCTCTGCCAGATTGAAGAGATTGATATGTGAACAAAGAGAAGGTATTGGTTAAGTTTCTGTGTATACAGTATGAAATGCCTAGAAGCTAGAAATTGCAGTAACTCTAGGAAACATTCTAAAAGGGATTCTATTTTGGTTCTTCTGCTGGTTGGATCTGTGTTGATTCTAGCAGTCCTCTGAGATGATTTATTAGAATCAAGAGCAGTTCTTCAGTTTCTGTTTGCTGCTCCTTTTCCAATCTGCCTGGACTATCTTCTGGACTTCTTTTGTGAGCTTTTGAGTGTGGATGATCAGGTTTTCTGATGTCATCCTGTTCCCTTTTGCGTTTCATCTTGAAATGTTGAAGGATCCTGTTTCAGTACAGTTTTATAGGTGATATTTGATGTTTGGTCTACTCTGCATCTGGCCATTTCAGACAACTGGTTATTAATGAATAGTGCATGTATGAGAGCTGTATCTGGACTAGCTCTAGAAGGGTCTGGACAGCCATATTTGACTGCTTGGCATTCTGACCAATGCTGCAGATTATTTGAGGGGATGATCCTTATTATTTTTGGCAGACTGTTGGGCTTCACTGTCTCTCCCTGGACTGCATTTGCTACCGTTTCTTTTGTGGTTTTAAGGCATTTTCTCAGGATTGTTTCAGCTGGATGGAAAGAAGACATTACAAAGGGATTAATTTTTGAATTACCATTTTACCCTTGTATTGTTTTAGTTGTTATATGTTCATAAGTCACTGTTTTTAGCTTAAAAATAGTGACTTATTTGCTTCTTGTAATTTCTGCTTTTATTCAATAAAATTTTTCTTTAAAAAAAAAAAAAAAAGGGTTTAGGGTTTAGGGCACTCAATCTGCTATAGCAAAAGGAATTTGGAATCAAAAAACTTTTCCTAGTGCTCAACTATGTGCATGGAAAATTTTTAGAAAAGCTTTAACCACTGATGATAGAGTTCAAAGTGTGGGGGTTGCAATGGCCAGTAAATGTATATTGTGTGGATTAGAGGGGGAAAGCTCTACTCATATTTTCATTGACTGTTCTATGGCTCAAACTGTATGGAGGAAAACTGCAGTGATGATGGGTTTTGATGTTCTGCTTGGAGAATCTCCTTTATGCAGATTTCTAAGACTGCTGAGAAGGTTTAAAACTCCTTCTCTTAGTCATATTTTAATAAGGGGGGTTACTATGCTAATATTTTGGGCTCTGTGGAAGGAGAGATGCAGGAGGAAATTTGAGGGATTGTTCTTAAATGGCCATGCAATTTTCTTACAAGTTTTGAGTGCTTTGAAATGGCAGGCTTTCACTATAAAGCCTGGATCAGCTGATGACATTAAGGGTAAGGAGTTATTAAGTGAGCTAAAAATTCAGAATCCTTTTTCTTTAATCATTAAGGTGAAATGGATCAAGTGGAATTCTCCTCCTCCAAATATACTGAAGCTTAATGTTGATGGTGCCTCAAAAGGAAAAACTGGACTGTCAGGTGGAGGGGTAGTGGTGAGAAATGATAAAGGGGAAATTATATTTGCTGCTGCCTGCTACTATGGGATGGGCTCAAATATGGTTGCTGAATGTAAGGCTCTGCTTGATGGATTATTATTGATTCTGCAGCATGGTTTGTCATCAAATCAGATTGTGGTGGAATCAGATTCTCAGACATTAGTTAAAATGGTGATGGGCTTAGCTGCTATTCCATGGAGGTTGCAACATCAGTTAGAGAGGATTAATATGTTGTTTGGAATGTTGAAATTGCATATTACACACATTTATAGGGAAGCAAATGGGCTTGCTGATTTTTTAGCTTCCTGGGCTGTTAAAAATGAAAGAAGCACTGTTTTCTCTGATGGTACCCTTTTGCCTCTTGCTGGGAAAGTTATTATGCAACATGATCAGAGTGGATTGCCTTCTGCCAGATTAATGAAAATGATTTGTGGTCAAAAGCAAGGCATTGGTTAATATTTCTTCCTATGGGATCAGCTGATGAGATGGGGTTGTAGAAGAAAGTTGCCAAACAGATTCTGAATAGCCATCAGAATTTGCAAATCCATATTATTTCAATCTAATGAAATTACATAATGCAGAAATTCTGGAAGTCAGTGGATCCTTTCTCACTTTGCTTCTTTGGATTGCTGGCTTTGCCTTTATGTTTCCAGCAAATGTTTGAGATGTTCTATCAGCAGTATAATCAGAATTTCCATTTCTGGATTTTCCTGATTATCCCTTCTTCCTCTTGGACTATCTTCGGGTTTAGGGTTTAGGGTTTAGGGTTTAGGAAGGAGGGAGGCAACATTCAATTCTAGAGAGAGAAGCTCTCACTTCTCTCTAAAATTTTTCCATTGATTTTTTTGATTTTAATTCACTTTCTTGATTCTTGTGTCAGATCCAGATTTTTTTGATCATTCTTTGGATTTTCTACATGGAATCGGGTACAATCCAACATCCAATTCCACCAAAACCCCCGGATATTAAAAAAAATTTTGCTTCTCTTTTCAAGAAATCCTCGGTTTTCGCAAATGTTGGGAATGCAGAGTCTTCTCTTTCTGATAAAAATCCTGGAATGAACCTTTCGTCTTCAGCAGTTTGTGTGGGTAACCAGTCTTCTATGCCTCTAACTTTACCTCTGGTATCTCAATCGATTCATTTTCCCCAAATTTCTCAAGAACCCGGTGTTTCTCACAGATCTTCAAACCATCCAATTTCTCGATCTTCTTCTCTTCCTCAAATTAACTTTTTCGGCCAAGATTCGTCAGGGATTCAGTATCCTCTCTCGATTCAGAGCTCTCTGGTTCCTCAAACTTCTTTAGATCCTCATCTACCTGTTTCACGACAGTCTTCGATCGCGAATGTTCCTTCGGCGGATTCTGGTAACTCATCTATGGGAAATGGTTTGCTAACTTCGGCTGGGATTCCCAAACCAGCGAAGAGGGTTGTTTACAACAATGGTGAACCTGGAATGTATTGGACTTCTGAAGAAACATTAGAGTTGTCGAAGGGTTTCAGTCAAACTCTAATCGAGAAATGCGCATATGGTAAGCCTTCACTGGGAGTAATTCGAGAGTTTATTGCTACAAAATGGCTTCCCAAGGGTGAATTCTCGATAGGTATTTTAGATCCTAGACACATACTTATTCGTTTTAGTCTTCTGGAGGATTATGTGAAGACATGGCTGAAAGATGCTACATATATAGAAGGTTTTTTGTTCAGATTTTTTAAATGGTTCCCGAAATTTCTTCCAGGAATTGAACCTCCAATTGTTCCAATGTGGATATCGTTGTCTGGGCTTCCTGTTCATCTCTTTAATAGAGAGAGTCTTCGAGATATTTTGAGTCCAATTGGGAAAATATTGGTGTTTGATAATTCAACTTTGCAGCTGACTAGGCCAGGAGTGGCGAGGGTGTGTGTTGAAGTTAACTTGTTGCAGTCTAATCCTAGAAGATTCTGGCTTGACATGGGGGGGAATAGTGGTAGATGGCAAAGAATAGTATATGAGAAGGATTTTAGGTACTGTGCTGCTTGTCTGAAACAGGGACATGATGGTAATACTTGTAGGAAAAAGAGGATTGCAAAAGGGGATGAGGAGAAAGGGAATGGGCAGAATGTTGAGGTAAACCAGCAGAAAGAGATCAATATTCAGAGTGGAGTGGATCATGTTGTGATAAATATTGCTGATAAAGGGAAAGGAATTGTACAGACTATGCCAGGAGGAAATCAGAAACAAGCTTTTAAAAGAAAAGAAGTTGTTCATAAGCCAGAGATTGGAAATAGATTCAGTGCTCTGGCTTTTGAGGAATAGAGTCATATTGTGGAAAGTGGAGAACATTTGATTGAGCCAGCTGTACAAATTGGGGAAAAAAATTGTTCGCATGAAGTAGAAGAGGAAATCTTAAATGTCTCAGGTAGAGAAAATGTGGAAGTTGAAGGGGTGGATAAAGTAAAGGATTCGATTACAGAAATGAATGTTGCTATTGAAGTTGATCAGGGTTCTGAAATGCAGATGAGAATGTCAAAATTAGGGGACGATGCTGAAAATACTTCTTTAATTGTGAGGGGGGGGGGTGCAAGAGTCTAAATCTTGTGGGGAGATTAGAGAACCAGAGTTACCTGAAAGTCAAGGGGTAGAAGGAGAGGTATCAGTTACGTTAATGAAGAAGGGGAGTAGGGATGATTGTGTAGTGCTAGTTGAACGAGAAGTTTCTTTTCATGTAAATGACAAGTCTTCTTTTTTTACTGGAAATGAGGGAGGAAAAAGTGGAAAGATGAGAGAAAAGGAGATAGGGGAGGGAATAGATGATATTGTGTGTTGTTTAAACAAACAAGCATCTCTTTCTTCAGATTCTTCTTTTTTTGTGGATAGACATTATGATGTTAGACAGTTGTTGCAAGTATCTCAGGATGATAATGATGGTTTGGTAAAGGAAAATGAGCTACTTGAAAAAGGTTTCTTATCTGATCAAAATAGTTCGAAGACTTGGGCGGATTTATCGGAAAGATTTTCTGATGATGAAGAGGTTCATGGTTTGGAAATAAGGCAGAGTCCTGAGGTTAATCCCGAACACATGTCCTCATTATGAACTTAATAATGTGGAATGTGAGAGGGGCTGGTAATGAAAGTATGAGAATCAGATTAAAAAAGCTTGTGGTGATGAACAAAGTTTGTTTTTTGGCTGTGCTAGAACCAAAAATGTTGGCAGTAAGGATGAAATCTTTCTCTGTATCAGTGGGATTGCGTTTTTTTGTGGCAAATACTCAAGCGGAGAAGAATATATGGTTGTTTTGGAAGGAGGGAATAGATGTGAAGGTGATTTTGGAACATGAGCAGGCTATTACTGTATCTGTTTGTTGCTTGGATTCTGATCCAATTCTTGTGACAGTTGTGTATGCGTGTTGTGATTACTTGTTATGAAGGCCTTTATGGCAACATATACAAGTAATTTCTTCCTCTTTTTCTTTGCCTTGGTTACTAATGGGAGATTTTAATACGGTGTTGTGTTCAGGGGAGAGATTGGGGGGTGCTTACCCCTCTGTTGTTGCGATGGAGGATTTTGGTAATTGTATACATTCGGCTGGGCTGGTGGATTGTGGCTTTGAGGGGAGCAGCTATACTTGGTGTAATAATCATCAGGGGGGAACAAGAATGTGGCAGCGTTTGGATAGGGTTTTTATAAATCCTATTTGGAATGCTAAGTTTGATAATTCTCAGGTGGTACATTTAGCGAGAGGAAGCTCAGATCATTGTCCTCTGGTGGTGAAGGTAACGGAAAAAACAGGGCAACATCGAATTTCTTATTTTAAATTTTTGGATATGTGGACTGAGGAGGCTTCTTTTTTGCCACTGGTTGTGGATGTGTGGTGTGGTTGTTTTTCTAGTAATCCTATTGAGGATTTTTTCTTAAAGTTAAAATTTCTTAAAGTTCGACTGAGAGGATGGAATAAAGAAGTTTTTGGGAATATATTTGAAAAAATCAAGCTACAGGAGATGGAAGTGTGTAATGCTGAAAGAACACTGGAGGCTGATTTTTCAGAGAGCAGTCTTTTGACATTGGAGAAAGCAAGAAAGAGCTTGGATGATACCTTGCGGTTGGAAGAAATGTTTTGGAAACAAAAAGCAAATGTAAAGTGGGCTTTAGAAGGAGAAAGGAATACAAAATTTTATCATGCTATAGCTAAAGGGAAGGCAGTTAGAAATAGCATAAAAAGAATTAAATGTGAGAATGGGAGCTGGGTTTGTTCTGAAGATGAGATTGCTGATCAAGCAGTGAATTTTTTTGCATCCTTATATAAATCTGAGGATCATGTTTTGGAAGATGCATTGTTTGAGGAAATTCCGTTTCTTGTGAGTGAATCAAATAATGAATCGCTTACTTGTCTTGCTTCCATGGCAGAACTGAAGAATGTGGTGTTCTCAATGGCAGTGGAAAGTGCACCAGGTGTAGATGGGTTTCCTGGGAAGTTTTATCAAGTTGCTTGGGATGTGATTAAGGAAGACTTGTTAAAAGCTACAAATTTTTTTCTAGAAGGTGGAGTAGTGCCAAGGTCGGTGAATGCCACTTTGTTGGCATTGATTCCAAAGAAATTAAATCCAACAAGTTTTGCAGAGTTTAGACCTATTAGTTTATGCAACTTTTTGTATAAAATTTTTACAAAGTTGCTTGCTAATACGTTAGCTGTTTTCTTGCCTTCTTTGTTTCGGATGCTCAGCATGGTTTTGTGAAAGGGCGCAGTATAGGGGAATGTATTTCACTAGCTCAGTATATGGTCTCTAAACAGGATAGAAAAGTGGAGGCAGGGAATATAATAGTTAAGCTTGATATGATGAAGGCATACGATCGTATTGAATGGGATTAGGGTTTAGGGTTTAGGGTTTTAGGGTTTAGGGTTTAGGGTTTAGGGTTTAGGTTTAGGGTTTAGGGTTTAGGGTTTAGGGTTTAGGGTTTAGGGTT